TATTCAAATCAGTCAGACATTGAGTTTTGAGATACCAGGAGACTCCACGCCTGCCAAAACACTGACTCAATAACACTACCAGCTTCTCATCAACTCAACACAACTCACGCTACTATTGCCGCGTGAAGAAACTTAACTTACAATTTACTAAAAAAGTGACAGTCACTATGAAATAGTAATTGTACGTTTAATCAACTTTAGCATATCAGTCAAAGGCACACAACTCTTCATAACTTGAATCAACACTTACAATCGTCACACACATACACACTATTATTTGAACTCACACAATTGACATTTTACCTTGCAGAAATCAAACTGGTTTAATTTCACAAACAAACTTAAACAATCAACATTCGCTCACCAAATCTCTGCATGGACACTCTTTGCAATCTTATCTCACTTGCCACATTTAACAAGCAACCTACCATCACTTTGTGTATGTCAAATATGTATATATATAATTATTTATTTAAAAATATGATTCCAAATCGCTACATAAGAGGTCTCATGTTTCAAAACAAGAGCCGAAAACTTCAATATAATCCTTTAAATTAAATTGAGTTGAAATTAAAAAGGGCTCCGTTCCATCTTCAAGCGAAGTTTTTGTTGGAATAACGTATATCTGAAATTTACTTGTTTTAAAAATTGAAATCAAAATCACCATGGTAACAGCTAGGGCGAATTGTCTAAAATGGGTAGGCGGGTGTAGGGTGTTAATGATGAGTAGCGGTATAGAGATACTTTCAAGGTGTCAAGTCGGGGGAAGATGAGGGTGTCAAAAATGAAACGAAGATGTATTAAGCTTTCGTCAAGTTGGCTTGTCTATGGAGATTTATTTATTTATTTTATTTTATTTTATTATAAAAGGGAATTGTGCATATAAAAAGAAAGACTTTCGTAACGTTTGTTTTTTGACGACTTCATAAAGGATTATCTTTTATGTAAGGTATTTAAACTACTAATTTGGGCTATGGATTATGAAGGGTGTTATGTTGTATGCAAGTTTGTAGTTAATAATTTCTACTATGAATCTGATGATTGGGTTATTTGTTAAACAAGTTATATAAATTTTTTATTTCAAACCAAAAATCTGATGATGCCTACAAAAAACCGTTATCTCGTGTCTATTATTTAATAGATTATTATTATTAAGAAGTTTAATAATGTGCAATTTTTCATGGAGGCACAAAGGGCATGGGTCGTCCCAAGCTTTACATATTCTAGCCTTGTCAATAATTTTCCATTTAACTTTTGGTGTCTTATTTGTTTCCTTCAAGTGCCAAAAATATTTTGATAGTGAAGTCTGGTTTCTTTTGTTTATATTATTAAAGGAGCACTTGTGCTGCCTCCATCTATCTTTAAAATTATTCTTCGTGGACCCAATGTATATCATATTAGTGCTAGGGCTCTCTGTGGATGAAATATGTATATATATGTATATATATGAAATATGTATATATATATATATATATATATATATATATATATATATATATATATATATATATATATATATATATATAAAAGAAGAGGGGTGCCGCAAACGTTTTTTGGTTGTAATGTGGATTTATTGAGAAAAAATATTATACTTTGTTTTACATATTGTTGAAATATATAATTACGTTGTTTTTTTCTTGATTTCCTCAAATTGAATTGTCTTCATATGTTCGTTTAATTTATTTGTTGTGGATAAATGCATAATGTACACGCACATTTTAGACCTTCACACAATTTCACCTTCTGACACATCTTACTTAGCATAAATTCTGCAACAAGGTAATGAAGAAGACAAATGTGTGTCATATACCACGATAATCCATTCGTTCTTCAGACGTACCGAAGTCTGATGAACTTGACAAGAAACTCCGAATGATGGCAGTTGATGCGTACAAACAAGGTGATGGATATACAACACTTTCCAAGTGTTTTAAATGTTCCTAGATTGACAATTCGTAGTATTATAAAGACATTCCAGGGAATAAATTAAGGCCTGGCAGAAAACGGTAAATTTCTGAGAGAATTGAAAGGAAAATTATTAGAGATGTCCCGAAGAATTCTCATTTAATGACAAAGGACATTGTCAATGATATAAAGAAAATATTACCAGCAATACATTTTAGGAAAAAATATTAAAAGCAATACATTTTTGAAAGAAATATATTACCAGCAATAAAAATCTTGTCGGCATTAAGTAACCCATTGAAGATTTGATATGTCGTATAACAAACTATATCAAACCGATCCGAACCAAATCGAATCATCACTACTGCTGCTGGAAACATGATCGGATACTTGTACCGCTCCAGAAAAGTACCTGACTTCTCATGGCATACTTTAGCCTTACTAGAGCCAGATGAGGCTGAAAAGAGAGTATTGCTACCACAAGGCTGAAATTGTCCAATCACCACAAGCTCCAACTATCCAGAGTCCAAAATCGTTCACGCAGCCTTGTTCATTATGAAATGTTTTCCACCCTACAACCCCTTTCCTCACAGGCGAAATGTTGCTTGCTTCTCATTAGCTTATCACTATTTTTATGGTAGACTAGCAGTAGAGCCCGGCGTTGCCCGGGGATGTAACAGTAAGAGATAGATCAAGTATCGACCATCAGAAAGACTGAAAAATAAAATTGACAAAGATTATTGTTTAAGGTTGACGGACACGCATGTCTTAATTAGTTTTTTTTTTTTTTTTTTTTTTTAACGAATTGGTCAAACCCAAACTCTAACAAAAACATTGTTTTCAATCGTTATGAGTCTACCGATTGAATAGAATTTTATTATAAACAATTGTCTTGTAAATGGAATTTTTAAAGCATTCTGAATGTAAAAATAAAGAAAAAAGTGTGCAAGATAATAAGAAACACTACCTGCCAAAAAAAAGTGAAGTTTTGTTGAAATCAGTTGAAAAATGTAGGAAATCCGATCCCATATATATATCCACACACAAACAACCTGGGTTTTATAATAAGTATAACTCGATATGAGTTGTCCCCCTTTCATTCTGGTGACTTAATCGTGTTTTCAAATTTTCGTGCAAAAAGAATTGTGTTTTTTCTAATTTTTGGTGCTGTCAGAACCACCGCAAGGTAATTTTACGCAGTCCTGTGAAGTTTCGTTGAAATCAGTTGAAAAATGTAGGAAAATCGATCCAATATATATAAACATACAGACACACACACACACACAATCTGCGTTTTATAATAAGTAAGAAAGATGTTCAGGCGAGCTGTATTAGTGAATTTCACGATTTCATGCCTTCACAACTCGGACCCGCCCCCATACCACGTACACTAAATTGAATCATCTTCATATTCCATTGCTAAGGAAGGAGTTCCCGTAAGAAGGTTTCAACCGCAGGTATCTTAATTTGAGGAATGGACTCCCGAGTGTCAGCAATCTTAGCCATTTAAAGTCTAGAGGCGACCGTTATCTATCCTACATAGCCTCATAATATACACCTCTGTCTCTCTCTTTTTCTTTCTGTGTGTGTGTGTGTGTACGCCCTTACAACAACCTTATTTAGTAAAATTCTACCTTGAGTGGCTCTATAGACTGAACACACATGTAATATTATTTTTGTTTGAATTTCTGGAATGAGTAGTTATTATTTACACTCTTTGTCTGTATCTCTGAGACGGAATAAAGTGTTCGGTTCGAAATTCCAATCACCTGAAGAAGGCCGGAGCGTACAATGGCTGAAACGTTGTGAATATGGTAGTGAAGACTAGGATAACAGTCCACATAACGTAAATAATGCAAGTAATTATTTACACTATTTATAGTTGGCTCTCTGTGCCGCGCCAGGAAATTTTTCTCCCCTAAATCGATACTTCAAATATACAAAACAACCATTCGCCCTTGCATGGAGTATTGCTGCCATATATGGGCTGGAGCACCTTCTGCTTACCTCGGAGTTCTTGACAAGATCCAGAGACGGATATGTAATCTAATTGGCCCTGATCTAGCGTCTTGTCTGCAGTCACTCTCTCACAGACGCGCCGTCGCCTCTCTCTGTCTTTTCTACAAATACTTCCATGGTAACTGCTCTGATGAGCTGCTCTCTGGTTCCCAGACTCCATGAATTCAAGCGCCCTACGAGGCTGGCATCCCGCTCTCACCCTTACACCGTAGAAACCTTCAAATGTAGCCGTCTCTTCTACTCCAATAGCTTCATACCTCACACCTCTCGCCTGTGGAACACCCTCCCCAATTACTGTTTCCTGAAAGCTATAATCTCCAACTATTCAAATGTAATGTCAATCGACATCTCCAATTACCTTGATCTACCCACTATCCTTCTCCTCTTCCTTTCTCCTATCACTCTTATCTGCTCTCGCTCCAAATCTTCCGCAACCCCCTGCATCCTAGTGGCTTCACGCCTTGCTTGGGGCACAATGCTTAAAAAAATATATATATATATATACAGACTATTGCCTTTGTTTTCATCACAACGTTTCGGTTGTTGTGCCTGCCGACCTTCCTCAGATGTGTATCGATCTGCGTAACTAAACACTTTATTTAATCTACTGGGTAGACTGTTCTCGTTCGAATGTTCTTCTTTTATTTAGCACAGTTCAGTTATTGCTCGTTCATTTCCACTGTATCTATCATACCTAGCCTCATAATATACACCTTTCTCTCTCTCTCTCTTTCTCTCTCTGTCTTTATACGCCCTTAAAAACAACCTTATTTAATAACTCTCTACCTTGAGTGGCTCTAGAGACTGAACAGACATGCAATGCATGTAACATTTAATACCTCCCAAACCAATCTAGTAAAGTTCTGTCATCAATGAGCAGGCCCGTGATTTCCTTCTGTCATGGTGAACGGTTGTACTCTCAAAGAGGACCCTGGATTTGAATGTCTATTGGGACTAAGGTGCACTCCAAATCTCAAGCGTTCTGGGTATGACGATAAACTACATCCAGCATCAAGGTCTCTGATCAGGAGGTTTTGAGGAACGGACTACCGAGAGTCAGCAAACTTCGCACCATAATGTCTAGAGTTGACCCTTATCTACCCTACATAGCCCCTCTCTGTCTCTGTCTCTCTCTCTCTGTCTCTCTCTCTCTCTGTCTCTCTCTCTCTCTGTCTCTCTCTCTGTCTCTCTCTACGTCATTACAACATCCTTATTTGGTAAATCTCTACCTTGAGTCGCTCAAGAGACTGAACACACAGGAAATATTTTTTGTGCGAATTTTTGGGATGAGGAATTGTCATTATTTACAATATATATATATATATATATATATATATATATATATATATATACAGACTAATTTCCTCATTTTTGTAGATTTTATCAAAAAGTTTCGGCCGTTGTGCACTCCGGCCTTCCTCAGGTGTATATCAATCTTTTTAACCTACAGGGAATTCCGAACTGAACACTTTATTTAATCTACTGGGTAGACTGTTCTAGTTCGACTGCTAGGAATATCGTCTAGCTCTTCTTTTATTTAGCACAGTTCCGTTATTGCTCGTTCGTTTCCACTGTATCTATCATACATAGCCTCAGAATATACAGCTTTCTCTCTCTCTCTTTATACGCCCTTAAAACAACGTTATTTAACAACTCTCTACCTTGAGTGGCTCTAGAGACTGAACACATATGAAATGCATGTAACATTTAATACCTCCCAAACCAATCTAGTAAGGTTATATCATTGAGCAAGCTCTCGATTTTCTCTAGTCTTGGTGAACGGCTGTACTCTCAAAGAAGCTCCTTGATTTGAATGTCTATTGGAATTCAGGTTCACCCGAGACCTCAAGGGAACAAAAGAACTTGACTCCTTCTGCCACGCCCTACGATTACAAACGTCAGATCAGACCAGAAGTGAAATATTAGTGCTATATATATATGTTGATGCTGCACGGGTTCTCGCTTTCCAGTGTTGACAAAAGCCAAAAGCGCTTACACAAAAATGTGAGCGATTAATTATTTTCCACCTACAGTGCTTTTCTCACGAACGAAATAAGGTAAGCCTATCGCTACTCCATCTGATGAAATTTGAACCCAAACTGGAGTCGACCGTAAATGGGATAATCAAGACAATGCGGGAGATCATTTCTTTAGCTGCCTAGTATGTGGTTCACAATGACTACATGCAGATTTGAATTCATAGCTTTCCTTCTCTTAAACCGGTTGCCACTCAAGATTATAGAACCCAGTCTGTTCTACTATTTTACCCATAGATGAGGGGAGGAGGCCCCTTAACCGGAACGTCCACTGAGATTAAAGGTTACACCAGAACTCAAGTAGAACTGATATATACAACCCTTCATTAATTCCCAGCCTTGCTAGAGTTCATAAGCGTTTAAGCGGCCTTGTGGGTGATACATGTTTTCCACTTTACAACCCCCTTTCCCACTGGCGAAACATTGCAAGCTTCTCGCTACCTTGTTGCTATCTCTACGGTAGATATTCACGCGAACTGTACTCCTGAATTTTACGAGTTTATACTTTCAGAATTTTCTAACCTTTTACCTTTTCTTGTTCACTCTTACAACGATATCATACTTATTATAAAACCCAGGTTGTGTGTGTGTGCGTATATGTGTTCGTTTATATATGGGATCGGATTTTCCTACATTTTTCAACCGATTTAAACAAAACTTCACATGACTACGTAAAATTACCTTGCGGTGGTTCTGACAGCGCCAAAAATTGGAAAAACAAAATTCTTTTTGCATGAAATCAACTTGAAAACATGATTAAGGGGCATCGCGGGAATGAAAGGGAGACAACTCATATCGAGTTATACTTATTATAAAACCCAGGTTTTGTGTGTGTGTGTGTGTGTGCGCGCGCGCGTGTGTGTTCGTTTATATATGGGATCGGATTTCCTACATTTTTCAACCGATTTCAACAAAACGTCACTTTTTTTTTGGCAGGTAGTGTTTCTTATTGTCTTGCACACTTTTTTCTTTATTTTTATATTCAGAATGCTTTAAAAATTCCATTTACAAGACAATTGTTTATAATAAAATTCTATTCAATCGGTAGACTCATAACGATTGAAAACAATGTTTTTGCTTGAGTTTAGGTTTGACCAATTCGTAAAAAAAAAAAAAAATAAATAATTAAGACATGCGTGTCCGTCAATCTTAAACAATAATCTTTGTCGATTTTATTTTTCTGTCTTTATGATGGTCGATACTTGATCTATCTCTTACTGTTACATCCCCGGACAACGCCGGGCTCTACTGCTAGTTATTTAATAAGCCTCTACATTGAGTGACTCTTTGTCGTTTTATAAAAACAAAAATGCTGGAAACTTTTGCTCCCGCTTGATACTGTGTTTGTATTAAATATGAAGAGAGATGTGCATTTTAAGGTAACAATGTGCCAATGCATAGATTGACTACCTGCGTCTTGATTAGGGACAGGTAGCTTTCAGATCCCAAGCTGATTGAGACTAAGTATGAATCCTAATATTCAAGAAACAGATCCATGATAAAATATCGTTCAAAAGGAATTTATTGTCCGCCGCCCCCGTTAATATGCATCTCCAGGGATTGAACCAGTCCAGTAAATCTCGAGGTATGCGTTAACTTCGAGCCACGGTTTGACGTGCAATGTTTGAGAACACAGGATGCTTAAGAAGTAGTTTGGTGTCATTGCGAGCTAAATATAAGTTTGGACGGCGTAGAATGTACGAGAGAGAAAAAAAATCTGTAACCAATTCAGACCCCGGTGATGGAAGGTCTTCTTGCAGCACCACGGCATACACTCGTTTCTGTTCTCGTCTTTGCTTGTGAGAAATCAATCTCTATTCATGGCTTTCATGTAATCACGTCCATGTTACATTGTCACAATATCCGCACGTCGATGTATTCAGCTGACTACAGCGAAAGAAAGAAACGACTGTACATGAGAATGTTCTGTGTTTTGTGTCCTTCCTATCGTCAATTTTTCTTTCTTTCATTCAATGATTTTGTTCTTATTTTCTTCTTTCTTTCAATTCATTTTCGTTTATTGTTTTCCTTTGTTGACTCCTTCCGCTTTCAACTGTGACTTCCTGCGCGCGAAAGTTTCATTCTTTCTTTCTTTTTTTCTTTTATTTTCTTTTTCTTTTCTTTTTTTTCTTTTTCTTTTGATTTTTTTCTTTTCATTTCTTTGTTTTTCTATACTAAGTATTGCTGTTTTCGAATATGATTACTTGTGCAAAGATTTTAAATTGTTTTTCTTTCTTTCTTTTCTTTTCTTCTCTTTTTTTATTTTTCTTTGCTAAGTTTTCATGTGTCCATATACAATTCCCTGTGCACAGATTATTTTTGTTCTTTATTTCTTTCTTTCTTTCTTTCTTTCTTTCTTTCTTTCTCTCTGTTCATTTTTTTTCCTTTGCTTTTTCTTTACTAAGTATTTGCGTTTTCAAATATGATTCACTGTTCCTATTTCTTTCTTTCATTCTTTTTTCATTTTTTTCATTCGTTGGTTCTTTCTTTCTTTCATTCATTTGTTCGTTCGTTTGTTCTTTCTTCCCATCATTCCATCGTCCATTCTTTCTTTCTTTCTTTCTTTCTTTCTTTCTTTGGTCCGTTCTTTCATTCTTTCATTTTTTCATTCGTTGGTTCTTTCTTTCTTTCATTCATTTGTTCGTTCGTTTGTTCTTTCTTCCCATCATTCCATCGTCCATTCTTTCTTTCTTTCTTTCTTTCTTTCTTTCTTTCTTTCTTTCTTTTTTTTTTTTCTTTCTTTCTTTCTTTGTCCGTTCTTTCATTCTTTCATTTTTTCATTTTTTTCCATTTTTGTTCGTTTTTCTTTTTTATCATTCCATCGTCCATTTTTTCTTTCTTTCTTTCTTTCTTTATTTTCTTTTTTTCAAATTCTTTTTTTTTTCATTGTTCTTTCTTTCTTTCATTCATTTGTTCGTTCGTTTGTTCTTTCTTCCCATCATTTTTCGTCCATTCTTTCTTTCTTTCTTTCTTTCTTTCTTTCTTTTTTTTGTTCTTTTTTGTTTCTTTCATTTTTTTCATTCGTTGGTTCTTTCTTTCTTTTCATTCATTTGTTCGTTCGTTTGTTCTTTCTTCCCATCATTCCATCGTCCATTTTTTTTCTTTTTGGTCCGTTCTTTCATTCTTTCATTTTTTTCATTCGTTGGTTCTTTCTTTCTTTCTTTCATTCATTTGTTTTCGTTTATTCTTTCTTTCATTTCGTCCATTCTTTCTTTCTTTCTTTCTTTCTTTCTTTCTTTCTTTCTTTGGTCCGTTCTTTCATTCTTTCATTTTTTCATTCGTTGGTTCTTTCTTTCTTTCATTCATTTGTTCGTTCGTTTGTTCTTTCTTCCCATTATTCCTTCGTCCATTCTTTTCTTTCTTTCTTTCTTTTTTTTCTTTCTTTCTTTATTTGGTCCGTTCTTTCATTCTTTTTCATTTTTTTCATTCGTTGGTTCTTTCTTCTTTTTTCATTCATTTGTTCGTTCGTTTGTTCTTTCTTTCTTTCCTTCGTCCATTCTTTCTTTCTTTCTTTTTTTTTTTTTTTTGGTCCGTTTTTTCATTCTTTTCTTTTTTCATTCGTTGGTTCTTTTCTTTCTTTCATTCATTTGTTCGTTCGTTTGTTCTTTCTTCCCATCATTCCATCGTCCATTCTTTCTTTCTTTCTTTTCTTTCTTTCTTTTTCTTTCATTCTTTCATTTTTTCATTCGTTGGTTCTTTTCTTTCATTTATGTTCGTTTTTGTTCTTTCTTCATCATTTTCGTCCATTCTTTCTTTCTTTCTTTCTTTCTTTTTCTTTTCTTTGGTCGTTCTTTTCATTCTTTCATTTTTTCATTCGTTTTCTTTTTTCATTTTTCGTTTTCTTTCTTCCCATCATTCCATCGTCCATTCTTTCTTTTCTTTCTTTCTTTTTCTTTCTTTCTTTGGTCCGTTCTTTCATTCTTTTCATTTTTCATTCGTTGGTTCTTTCTTTCTTTCATTCATTTTTCGTTCGTTTGTTCTTTCTTCCCATCATTCCATCGTCCATTCTTTCTTTCTTTCTTTCTTTCTTTTCTTTCTTTCTTTCTTTCTTTCTTTTTGGTCCGTTCTTTCATTCTTTCATTTTTTCATTCGTTGGTTCTTTCTTTCTTTCATTCATTTGTTCGTTCGTTTTTCTTTTTCCCATCATTTTTCTTTCTTTCTTTCTTTTTCTTTCTTTTTCTTTCTTTGGTCCGTTCATTCTTTCATTTTTTCATTCGTTGGTTCTTTCTTTCTTTTTTTTGTTCGTTCTTTCTTTCTTTCATTTCCTTTTTCGTTCGTTTTTTTTTCTTCCCATCATTCCTTCGTCCATTCTTTTTTCCTTTTCTTTCTTTGGTCCGTTCTTTTTTCATTCTTTCATTTTTCTTTCGTTGGTTCTTTTCTTTCTTTCATTCATTTGTTTTTCGTTTGTTCTTTCTTCCCATCATTCCTTCGTCCATTCTTTTCTTTCTTTCTTTCTTTCTTTCTTTGGTCCGTTCTTTCATTCTTTCATTTTTTCATTCGTTGGTTCTTTCTTTCTTTCATTCATTTGTTCGTTCGTTTGTTCTTTCTTCCCATTTTATTTCTTTCTTTCTTTCTTTGGTCCGTTCTTTCATTCTTTCATTTTTTCCTTCGTTTCTTCTTTCTTTCATTCCTTTCTTCTTTTTATTCGTTCTTTCGTTCATTCTTTCGTTCTTTCTTTCATTCCTTTGTTCGTTTGTTCTTTCATTCTTTCAACATTTTTCATTTATGCCTGTGTTAGTTCTTTTTTTTTTGTTAAATTCTTTCTTTTTTTTTTTAAATACATGTTCCCTTCTCGTTCTTTTTCTCATAATATATATATATATATGTATGCCTGTGTATATATGTCCCCTCTCTTTCTTTCATCTCATATATATATATATATATATATATATATATATATATATATATATACTAGTAGCATTGCCCGGCGTTGCCCGTGCTTGATTCAAAAATCGTACGACTCGCTATCACTTGACTTAAAATATGTTTGCCCTTCCTTGCCTTTAAAGGAGTGCCTTTTTCCGTGCTGATGTTGCTACATGCCTTACTTCTTGCCTATCTCACACTGCGAATTTTTTTAGAAGCTCTATGCTAAACATTAAATCTGTTACGAAAAAAGAACTAAACAAAATGAACACAAAACGATAAGCTTTAAAAAAAAAAGGACTCGTAACTGGAAAAACCGAATGAAAAAAGAATGTTAACAACAAATACTTTTTCACACCCAACCCAGTTCTGCGGAATCAGAATCTACGTTCAGTTTAAGCAAGCAAATGAGCCAATTGGAGTAAAGTGCCATGCAGATTTAATTTTTTTCCACTTGTGACAAATGCAGTTACCGATTTTTTTTGCATGCTAGCATGCTAGTTAGCATTTGTGTCAGTCAACTGTTGGCTCTCACGCTAGAATCTTCCTGCCTATTCGTGGCAGCCAGCTATAGGCTCTTACTCTGGCCAGTAAAAAATGGCCACAAACTACATGAAAACTGCCGTAGCAGCATGAAAAATCGATTATTTTCACTATCGATAGGAGTTGGGAAATGCAAAGCCAGTCTTGGCCTACCCGCTAACTTGGAGCATGTGCATGTAAATTTTGGTGCAAATCCGTCAAAAACTGCGACCGTGCATTCATTACACACACACACACACACACATCCTGCCTTTTTTATATATATATATATATATATATATATATATATGTGTGTGTGTGTGTGTGTGTGTGTGTGTGTGAGTGAGTGAGTGAGTGAGTGAGTGATTATTTAATACCAGGGAAAGAGATAAAAGCAAGTAAGATGCAAGGGGTCACTGTGTTTGAGAGAAATAGACAAGACAATAAAATAACAAGGAGACAGAAGATGATGATCGGCATTGCATTTCATTTTTTAAGGATTGCAGTTGACAGGAATGCAGAAATTCAGAAGCGATAAGTTCGAGAGAAGAAACTATCAACTTAGGACCTACGGCAACGAGTAGTAAATTTCTACAGTGAAATTATGACACTTAGCTGCCAATGTAAGACTGTGTTTAAATTCGCGAAGCCGCGGCACATGAAATATCATATTGGTGAGAAATTGATGAGGAACCGAGATGCCAGGTCAAGAACAATAACATTGCAGATTCTTTGGATTTTGTCAAGAATCTCTTGACACATAGCAGTAGCACCAGACCATATATGGCTGCAATATTCGATGTTCGAGTGAATGGTATACTTATAAATATACATGGTATATCGTCTTCTTCTTCTTCTTCTACTAGTTGTTGTTGGTGTTGTGCCATGTCCCTTCAGTACGTAGGCGAGTATGTCTCTCTAAACCTTCCTATCCTTTGTAACTCTTGATAATATTATTGTTTACCCCCGTTCCTCGTCCCTTTACTATGCCCTGTGAGTGTCAAATTCTCTAAGACTTCTTTCCTCGTTATATCCCTGATTTTTAATAGGCTGTTTCTGTTTCAATAATATATATATATATATATATATATATATATAGAGAGAGAGAGAGAGAGAGAGAGTTCACTCTACCTCCAACTCAATCACAATCTCTGCTCACTCTCTCTATATTCTGACTCTGGCTATTTAACGGCAGCAGTCCAAGTAACACTCTGGTCGAGTCCACTTATATGAAAAAGGTGAGGACACCATAACACGAAATTTTCCTGTTTCTTAATACTTTGCTCATCTTTTGGAAGGCATATTTCAATATTCTACCAACACACTTTCGTATTTCAGTCTCCTTTATTCCGTCCTCTATTAAAGTATTTCCCAGATATTTCAATTTTCATGCTTACTTCGTTTTGTCATCTCCATTTTGTCGTTCGACTCTTGTCATATCCCGCTTGCTGACATATCATTCTGTTTTCTTACAAATGACGTTTAATCATTTCTTCTCCCTTTCCTTTACGATCATTTTTAGGACTTAATGCTGGTTCCTCCTGTCTGTCATTAATACTTTATCATCCGCATATCTTATGTAGTTGAGACTATGCCCACGAATAAGGAATCCTGTGGGACGTTCAGCTCGCCCAGGATCGTCTCGTTGTAAAGGTTGAATGCATTTGACGCCATTTTTTTTTTCTTTGTATAATTAATTTATTATCTATCCGCATACAATCTTTTTGTTCCCAGTCACAGTCTTGAATTACTTTCTCAAATATCTCTAGGTGTTCCTAGCTGTAGAAACATATCATTATGATATCACACTTTATCAGTTTACGTTATACAAAGCAGTAAAGATACAAAGACTCAAGGGGTTATTGTGTACGAGAGAATAATAGAAAAAGAAAATATCATTAAACAGAGAGCGAACAATAAAAGAACGGGAATTAAAAAGACACAATATGTTGATTGACGTTGCATTTAGTTTTTTTAAAGATCAAACTTGTCTAGAAAAATATTTAATTGTAAATAGATGAGACCTGGCCACGAGGTTACTACTGTACTTAAATTCATAAAGTCTAGGTACCACATAGGAAAGTTCATCAGAACAATTAGCATGAAAGCATTTTAAAAAAGCACAGGGAATCTACGCTACGGTCGTGGGAAAGTGACTGGAACCAAGATACCAGATCAGGACCAATAACATTGCAGATTCTTCTTTTGGATTTTATCAAGAATCTCTAAATATATAACAAGAGCATCAGACAAAATGTGGCGGCGATATTCAAAGCATGGATTATTGACAGACTTATAAATATATATGATAGTTTCTGGCGATAAAAATGCGGTCTAGCACGACACAGTGAACCAAATTTTCTAGCAGCTGACCTAGCAATTAATTCAATATAATCTTTCCACCTCAGGTCAGGGGATAACGTTAGTTCGAGAAGGCGTAGTGAGTCAATCTTCTGGGGGTTAGCATCAGCCATCACAAGTTTAAAATGGTACCCACTTCATTGATAGATTATGGCGAGAAGAATTGTCATATTGCTCTTTCTCTCACATACACTCACTCACTCTCTCATCCACAAACACACACCACACACATATATGTCATTTTGATCGCTAGAGAATATAGTGTAGTAACTGTTTGTTGACGATGTTGTGACTGCGTAAGAATCCTTCTACTCGGTTTTTCGTTGAATGTTAAAATTTGGAGTGTCGGGATTCGATACATTAACAAAATATCGTTACAAGGTCGCTCGTAATTTGACCGTCTAGAATAATCAAACGATTTTCATTGAAGGAATAAAATTCAGTAGAAATGACAACGTAGTTTCAGCAAATAAACATTAATTTAATGTAACTACAAGAATACAAGCAGTTGATGATAGATTGGAAAGTAATGACTTTTTGTTTGGGTTAATAAAGTTTTGAAATAAAATATAAACTGTCTTTGTGTACGTATGTGAGAAACAATAAAATGTTGTGATATGTGTGTTTGTATGAAAAAGTCAACATGTGTGTGTGCGTGATTCATAGTAAAAGCGGATACGAGAGATAATTAGAAATTGTTTTTTACTGTTGGAGGTGTTGCCGTAGTCTGTAGTTTGTCAACGCTGTCGCTTTTAGCATGAGGTCGTGAAGATCATAAGCGAGAGTTGCGTGGAGTTTGGTGACAGCTGCGTGTATCCCTGTTTGGGAACGGATTTCGTATGTTTTTATACACTTTTTCATAACAAAATCGGCTCCAGACGTAAAATTATTTATTTATTCCTAATTGGCCCTAAAAGGGCACGTGGTATGTCTTCTACTACGTCCGCACGATATTTGGTCGGTATCTACCTCAAATTAATGATGACTAATACAACAAACATTCTAATTTGTATTCTATGATTTTATTGGTGGATTTTAAGATGTAAGTGTTTTTTGAGTGTGATTAGTTTATAAATATTGTATTTGATATTGATAACTACGACAACTGCACATCAACGAGAAACGCTGGTAGTTTCAAAATTTTTGAAAGGATTATTTTTTTTTTTTGCAATCTAACCAGGTTTATCTACATTCTTTTTTCTTTTTCTTTCCACAATCTTTGTTTTTTATCTCTCTCATATTGAGATGACAGGAAATCTGCCACGTTTACGTTTTTAAGAACCTTGACGTAAATTTACTGTGGATGAACAAGTGATTAAGGCGCTTTCTAGACATTATATTCTTAGTGAATTATTTTCTCTTTTAATTAGAGTAACATTTTTTTTTTACGGCCACAATTTTGACGCCAAAAAAATGCTATCTTTATCAAGGCAAATGTGCCCTGATAAAGTCCCTCGGGGTACGAAACGCGTCGACTAAGAATAAAAAAAAAACATTTTTCACTTGTCTCTTTATTCATTTTTTTCCCTTTACAGATACACTCTATCTGAAAATAATTTTCACACGCACATCCTCACGAACCCATATATATATATATATATATATATATATATATATATATATATATATATATATATATATTGTCGACATGGAAAACAAAAAACAAACTTTTAGTATATTTTAGTATAGAGGAAGTTAGCATTGGCCAGAAAGAGGATTACGCAGAAGCGCCTCCCTTTAAAAAATTTTGGGATTTAATCTATTTGTCAGTATCTGTCTATATTTCTGAGATGAGGTATTATGTACACTATTTACATTATTCAGACTATTGTCCTCATCTTTGTAGCCATATTTATTACAACGTTTCGGCCTTTCAGTATCTGTCTATATTTCTGAGATGAAGTATTATATACATTATTTACATTATTCGGACTATTGTCCTCATCTTTGTTGCCATATTTATTACAACGTTTCAGCCTTTCAGTATCTGTCTATATTTCTGAGATGAGGTATTATGTACACTATTTACATTATTCGGACTATTGTCCTCATCTTTGTTGCCATATTTATTACAACGTTTCAGCCTTTCAGTATCTGTCTATATTTCTGAGATGAGGTATTATGTACACTATTTACATTATTCGGGCTATTGTCCTCATCTTTGTCGCCACATTTATTAGGACGTATCGGTCGTTGTACGCTCCCGCCCTCTTAAGGTAGTTGGAGTGTCGAACTTAAACCTTTATATCTCTCACTGGAGTAGACTGTTCTGTTTTCTGACTCTGGAAATCGGCATACGTGCTCAGTTTCGTATCCGAACGTAAACAAAGCAATTTGTAAATAAAGAGGGGGTTTATTTTTTTTTTAATTTTATTAATCCGATATGTCAGTTACATGAGAGGTCACAATGGATCATAGAAAATTCAGTTCCTGGAAGGTAAATCAAATTCATTTTAATTCAATAAGCCATTATAGAAATCGCAAAAAGAATTCTTTCTCGCGTTTATAGGTCATCATTTTTGCTTTCTTTTGTATCGGCGTTTCTCTCTGCTGACGTCATCAATCGCTTCCCGCCAAAATATTCGGAATTGTTAGATTTTACCTTTTCTTCTTTTTTTTTTCCTTCCTTTTTTTTCTTTTCTTTTCCCATTCTTTTTTTCTTCTTTGCATCATTCCGCTAACCAGGGAGAGATTTTCAGTTGTATTGTTTTCCATAAATAAATTTAAAAACAGATATAGGGAGGCGTTTAGTCTAGAAAATGCCTTCTTCTTTCGAGAACGCATTTACGCACGCGATTTTGGTAGTGCTCACGAAAAATCTTTTTTTTGTCTTTTTCTTTTTTTCAAATTTCCGTTTTTCTTGTCGTTAGTACACAAAATCGATGGCGGTTGGGAAGATAAATCCGACATTTTAACCGCAGGCACAAAGGAAGACGGACGTGCCTTTTCATGGCTGGGCCAGGTGGACTGAAGAAAAAAGAACAAGTCTACTCCTATTTGTTAGTCAATGATGGCGGCAATGGAGCCTGTCAAACTATACTGGCGCGTTTTATACGCCTGACTGTGCTTGCAAGCTCTCAATTTTGAGGCCAAGAGAATACACTAATGGAAAATAAAACTGAAACACTCTGGGAGAGGAAGCCGATTTCAACCTGGGTTCAAGCTAGTATACTGTTACTGTTATCGACTCGGAAAATGAATTCTTTTTGCTGAGTTGAGAGACTGGTCCACAGGGCAGTGGTTCGCGGGAAGAAGCTGTTCGAGTGGAACTTATTTCTCGTCGATGGAATACGGAGGGAATGTAAGTGATTTGCTACTTTTTAAGCGCCTTGACCGTGAAGGCCAGACCTGGCAGAACCAAGGAATATAGTTCGTCCGAGCACTTTCCATAGGGCGTTGCGATAGAGCAGTGAGAGTCTCGCCACATCCCGCCTGTGAAGAGAGAGAGAGAGAGAGAGAGAGAGTGGTGGATGGAAAATAATCCTTCTCCAACAAGAACCAGAAACTCTCTCTCTCTCTCTCTCTCTCTCTCTCTCTCTCTCTCTCTCTCTCTCTCTCTCTCTACCCGTCTAGAAAAAGGAAAATACATTTTAAACCAACTAATAGAGAGGTGGACTCCGTCAAGTTATCTTTACCAAGACACACCATTATTGGTATGGCCGGTGTACATTTGATACACTTACGACTCTAATGGGTTACTGGGCATGGAGGTGACACTAAGTGCATTCTAACGTGTAGCAGATATTCGTTTTTGTTTTTGTCGAGTTTCCCCTCTCCCAAGCAAGAGAGTAAAGCCACTAAGACACAAGTGAATTACCGGGTGAGGAAGCATTAGAAAAACAGAAATATTACTAAAGAGCGAAAACAAAAGAAGATTAATCAGGACAAGATTAGAAAGCTATTGGCATGGCTTTTAAATTTTTGAAAATTAAAGTTGACTGAAAATTATGGAACCGGAAGAGGGCTCCACAAGTGCAAGAAAAGAAATGGCTGGCCGAGAATACATCTAGCCAGCTCAACTGGAAACTGAAGGAACCTTCCCGCCATTTTAGTTCAGCGATTAAAATCTTAAACGCTAGGTGTCCTAGCGAGGAGTTGATCACTTACGATGAAAGTATTTATAGAAGAGACACAGGGAAACAATGTCGGTGGGAAAAAGGCTCAAGCCGAGACACCAGATCAGAACCAATAATATTGCTGATTTTTATTTCGAATTTTATCAAGGGTCACTAGATATATATCAGGAACGCCGGTCCATATATGGCAGCAATATTTTAAGCATGGACGAATAGATATGTACGATAGATGATAGGGAGGACAATTGTCTAGCACGACACAGTGAACCAGCTTTCTTAGCAGCTGACCTAGCAATGGATTGAATATAGATTTTTTAAAACATTATGTCGGCCGATAACGTTATCGCGAAGAGTCGCAGTGACTCATTTTCTTGGGGAATAGCGGCAACCATGACAGAACGAGTTCTCTCAGATATTAATAGAGAGCTGTTTAATTCTGGAAGCGTTACTTCTTAAAGGCGTTGATCAAATTAAAACTTTGTAGCAAACACAATGCACTGGGTCTAAGCTTCAGTCGATGCTATATGCAGTAATAAATTTCAGCTTAGTGATAAAGTTAAGTGCAACTCGGAAAAAACAACACTTAGTTTTTATATAATTTATCTAATCAAGGTACCTTGTCTGTCATATTTAATGAAACTTGCATATATATATATATATATATATATATATATATATATATATATATATATGTATGTATGTATGTATGTATGTGTGTGTTTGTGTGTGTGATTCACAGACAGTAATATTTCTCTGTGTCACAACTCTTCAGTGCGACTAGACAACCGAATCAGCCAAATCCAGCGTATTTTCTTTACAAACGTAAACAAACGGCAAGCAGCCGTGGTGCTCCATTCATTGTACTGAAGAGCTTAGCATTGACGCAAGTGACCGTTGATCTTAGAATTAGCTTGTCATTCAAAAGTGCTCAGTTGAAAATATGTAAAAAGTTAATGGTCAGAGTTGAATTAGTACCAGGAAACAGTAGTAGTAAAAATGAAAAAGCGCACGACGTGAGTTCTGGTAGAAGTTGAAGAAGAGGAGGAAAGTTAGTGTACTGGAAATGTATCAGTGGAAGGTTAAATGAAATATACATATTTTCTTTTCATCCCACTTCATATGAACTCAAAAGAAACTATTTAGTATGTGTAGCGGACCGTGTCGGTTTGAGTGTTGTATTAGGAACACGTGCGTTTATTTCCTGTTAGAAGGTCGAACTACAAGAACAATGGCGGACTGAAGTTGAATCCAACCGAAGATGTAAAGAAAACAAACAAGACCGATATATACATGTCAACAAATATATGGATTAAACAACAAATTAACAAGTGACAAAGACATTTGTGTTTGTGCGTGAATGTTCGTACGTACGTGTATGTGCGTTTCATGGCGTTTTCCCCACACGTGGGCAAAACGCAGATTTCTACGAGAGATTACATTTTTAAATGTGTCCGCTGAAATGCAAAGTAGAAAGAGAACGAGGCAAAAAGTTGCCCAGTATTTATAGTGTAGGGAGAGCAACCCCTGGGGAACAATTAGAGAATTAAGGAGGAGCTAACTCCGACATATGTATACAACACGTCATAGTATATATATTAAAAGAGCACTATTGGTAGGGTAAATAAACTATTATAGTTTAAAACTTTTTTAATGTTCTCTATGAATGTGTTAATAGATACAGTATTTAACTTATATTAAATCCTTAAATTATTTGTAAAAAAGTTAAATATTTAAATTGCTAGCAAGCATCAAATTAATTCCTTGAGTTTTTTTTTTTTTTTTTGGGGGGGGGGTTTGACATCTTAATTACTATCAAACATTAAAATCTATTTTTTACATAAATTGCTAAAACTTACCAACCATCTCCTCCATATGTAAAACCCAATTACAGCCTCTTTCTCTTTACTTCCCTCCCCCTCTTCTTTCTTTTTCTCTTTTCCTTTTTCTTTTCTCTCTTCTCCCCTCCCATTTCAATATATCACTTCCGTTAAGTTAACCGTTTAAGTAGGTCAAGGTCTGGTCACACCTCCTCCCCCAATACTAAGTATGTTTGAGAGAGATATTAAATTAAACCCTCCCTAAACTCTACCATGTATCTCTAACCACTCCTTATTACACTCTCTGTTAAATTACACTACCCATCAATTTTCATTTCATTTTTCGTTTCATTTTTGGAAGTGCTATCTGATGATCCGGAGTCCTTTAAAAGGGCTCTGACGAAATAAATTATTATAAAGTGGTCTGTTTTTCTTTAATACATACATATATATATATATATATAAAGACAGAAGGGCAACTTATCTCAAATGTGATATATAGTTTTAAAATATGTTATATTTATGGGTCAATATCAATGTCAAATGCTCAATATCAGGGACAGAGCGTGTGTAAATATAAAAGTGGACGTTGAGACAAAATCAAGGCGACAGTCTGTTTCACGACCCGAAGATTGAGTTCAAGCATGAAATAGACTGTAACCTCTCTGTAATGACCCCAGTGTCCATTTATATATTTATATATATATATATATATATATATATATATATATATATATATATATATATATACAGAGAGAGAGAGAGAGATAGATAGATATTTCTATAATTTTGCAAGTGAGCGCTTATTAATTTATTGAGTTTATATATATATATATATATATATATATATATATATATATATATATATATTAAGTATTCACTTGTCATTTTATCAAATGCGTCCGTTAGTTTATGCGTCAATCAATTAGTCTTCTCTTCGGAGTACAAAAGAAGATGTCGTCTGCTTTATCTTTTCCTTTTTTTTCTTTTTTTTTTTTCGCGCCATTTTATTTTAGTCAAATCAAATATTTCATTCTTTATTCATGTTTAAATGTATGTTTTTTTTATTTGAAAATTGTCAGACATTTCTTTTCCTTGAAATTGACCCTGAATTTATTTGTCAAGAATTTTATTTTTCTTTCCATCTTTTTTTTTCTTTTCTTAATTCCTTTAAAACCTTTTCTAAACATTCTTTTTTTTTTTTTTTGACACTATTGAATCAGTGATGTATAGACAGAAAATAAACGCTCAGGTAGATAAACAACTTTTTGATGAGTCTGGACTTAAAAGCGCGAAAATTATTGGCGTTCTTTAAAAAAAAAAATTAAAAAGAAATGTTGTACAAGATGGTCTTTCTTTTATTTATATAAAATACATTATCAGACTCCATCGAAGGAATTTAGCTTATTGGAATACAGGACGAAATATAACCATAACGTAATTCGCGTGATATAGACCGAACAGGCCCTGAATATTCTCTGTTTATGATGAAATGTTGTGTCGGGTTAATTCTAGTTTTTGAAACCGCTACTGGGGGACGTTTTCTGGTCTATAAATGCTCAGCGATATTTTTTCTCGCCATCTTTTTCTCATTCCTCTGCATAGACATCAACATGTAAACTTCTAGCGGAAGAACGTGATCCCTCTTTTTTGAACATGAATGAACATTGCATACACACACACACGTACGTACGCACATTTACTCACTTCATATACTTTGGACAAAAAAAGTTTCCCTATTCATTTGTTACACACATTACTGTCTTTTATCACTTGTAACTTTTTATT